TAAAATACTTTTTTTGCATGATCAGTCATATTTTCAAAATCTCTGCCAAAATGTCACAATTTCTGCCGGGTATGCAAACATTTGAGCACAACCGTATAGAGCATGTCCCCTCCCCATCTGTAACATGTGTCAGGACAAACCAGTGGCACAATACGCAGAACTAAGTCAAACACGGAGACATAAACAGTAATGACGTATTACCGGGCCTTAAAATGGCTGGATTTAATGTATAAGAATAACCAATAACGAGCCGAGGTCAGGTATACAGAAAGGAACAAATACGGTAAGAATAAAACCAAAGGGTCAGGGATACCGGAAATACGGGAAGTCAAGCCAAGATCAATACTCACTAAACAGTATCAGGAATGCACTCTCTGATAACCAACAGGATGGAAACCACGACAGGGCCCTGAACAGCTGCAGGTTTGGGTTTAACCTCTTAATGACCAGACCGTTTTTCAATTTTCTTACCGTTGAGGACGAGGGCTGTTTTTACATTTCTGTGGTGTTTGTGTTTAGCTGTTATTTTCCTCTTACTCATTTACTGTACCCACACATATTATATACCGTTTTTCTCCCCATTAAATGGTCTTTCTAAAAAATACCATTATTTTCATATTTAATTTACTATAAAAAAAAATTATAAAATATTAGTTTTGTTTTTTTAAAACACTTTTTCTAACTTTGACCCCCAAAATCTGTTACCACCTACAACCGCCAAAAAGCACCCGTGCTAAACAGTTTCTAAAAAAAAATTCTGAGTTTAGAAATACACAAATGTTAACATGTTCTTAGTTTTGGGGGGAAAATTATAGGGCTATAAGTACAAGTAGGACAATGCTGTTTCAAAATATATATTTAAATGCATCAATAGTGACATTATAACACCATTATCTGTCATAAATCTCTGAATCACACCTCAAATGTACATTTATTTATTTTTAAAGTAGACAACCCAGGGTATTCAATATGTCCAGTCATTTTTAGTAGAAACTTAGTCATAACCAAGCATTTATATATTTTTTGTGTTAAAAATGCAAAAAACTATTCTGAACGATACCTTCGGCCAGTGTTTGTGATTAAGTGGCTACTTAAAAATACTGAACATTTTCAATACTTTGGGTTGTCTTCTTTTGCAAATGGTATGCAATCATGGGGGTAATTCTCATTTCTGGGCTACCATACGCTCTCAAAGGCAACATAACCAATCTGGCAAAATTCAATGTGAAAAAACGGAAAATCAAGCCTTACGTCATTGTGGGCGGCACTATCATGTAGCGCCGCCTTGCAACAGCCAGAATCCTTCCTAGCACAAGACCCGGCCACTGTCATAGGAGCTGTGCAGATGGAGAGGCGCTGGAGGTAAGGTGAGTAACCTCTTCCTCCTTTTATCAGATGCGGTCACATCGCGTGCCGGGCAAGCAGAACCAGGCTTATCAGGGAATCTGGCATGGAAAAAGCGAAGGAGGCGTCCAGCATGAATACCAACAGCAGGAACCCATGAGATTTCCTCAGGACCATAACCCTTCCAATCCACCAAATATTGCAAAGAACCTGGAGTCCAAAACAGAACAGACTTTGTATTTCTCCTGACCCGCAACCACCAAGGGAGGAGGAGACGCGGAAGGAGCAGTGTATCTATTGGAGATAAGCGGTTTCAATAAAGAAACAATAAAAGACATAAGACACCGGATTGATCCTATGTGACAAATGGAAGGGACCAATGTATCGAGGAGCAAACTTCATAGAGGGCACCCTGAGTCTAATGTGTTTAGTGGACAGCCAAACCCTGTCCCCTACTTGATAAGAAGGTGCAGCACTATGTCTTTTATCAGCATGCAGCTTAAAACCGGAAGAAGCGCCAGCTAAGGCAGCATGTAACTGATCCCATGTTTTCCTCATAGAGGTCAGATGCTCATCCAAAGTGGGGATATTGGTATCAAAGAAGGTAAGGGTGGAAACCATATACAACATAAAAAGGACTAAGCTTGGAAGAGTCATGCGTAGTGTTGTCCCGGACAAATTCTGCCCAGGGCAAGAGGTCAAACCAATAATCCTGGGTATCATTAATGAAACACTTTAGAAAAACCTCCAGAAACGGATTTGCCCTTTCGGTTGCACCGTTGGTTTGGGGATAAGATGAAGAAAGGGACAGTTCGATACCCAATTACATACAAAAAGATTTCCAGAATCGAGAATTGAACTGTGAACCCCTGTCAGAAATGATGTTTTGAGGAACCCCATTTAACCTTACAATTTCCTTACTGAAAATCTGAGCAAGGTCTTGTGAGGAAGTTAATTTGTTAAGCGGGATGAAATGGGCGATCTATGACCATAAGTATAGTGTTATATCCCTTGGAGACAAGCAACTCCACACTGAAGTCCATGGCTTTATGAGACAATGAAATAAGAGGCACAGGCAGTGTTTGTAACAACCCACAATTCAATTTGTGCGGAACCGTAGAGACAGCACAAGTCTGGCAAGTATTGACATAAGCGATAACATCGTCCTTAAGGGAGGGCCACCAGAACTGTCTGGTTACCGCTGAAATGGTTTTGCGTGTACCTGGATACCCAGCTGTAATGTTATCATGGAACATAGTAAGAATTGCTCTTCTTTCTGATTCAGGAACGAACAGGCGACCTGAAGGTTTAGTACTTGATGCCTGAGGTTGCGCCGCGATTATGACACCAAGAAGAGGCGTGGACAAAGAAAGGAGCCAAAATACATTCAGGAGGGATAATAGGAGTGTTCTCTTGCTCTTGTTCTTCCTCCATCTCAAACTGCCTGGATAAGGCATCAGCCTTTGCGTTCCTAGTACCAGGCCTATAAGTTATAACATAATTAAAACGGGAAAGAAAAAGAGACCATCTAGCCTGTCTGTATAATATTCTTTTAGCTTTCCCGGTATATTTCAGTTTTTATGATATGTTATAATTATCAGGGGGGTCTTTGGATCCTTCTACTATATCTCCACTTTTTTAGTGCCAATATCTCCTTGTTACCAATGTCATAATTCCTTTCTGCTGGCGATAGCTTTTTAGAAAAAGCCACAGGGGTGCAGTTGTTTATCATTACTCTCTCTCTGGGAAAGTATAGCACCCACCCCTGTTTCAGAGGCATCTACTTCTAATATGAAAGACCTGCTGGGATCAGGATGAGCAAGTATAGGTGCTGACGCAAATGAAATCTTAAGTTGTTCAAAGGCATTAATGGCTAAATGTACCTTTAACTGTTTTTACCTGTCAAATTGGTTATCAAGGATTTGGTTCCTTCTCCCTGGAGGCAGAGAATAATGAGGCAGAGAATGAAGGGACAGAATTGAAGAGGGACAGAATTGAGAAGGGACATAAAGAGGGACAGAATAAAGAAAGACAGAATAAAGAGATGACATGAAAAGTATGCCGTTTGCAATAAACTTTG